TATTCAGTATAAGACACAATTCTGGCAAACCGTTAAAGAGCAAATTCAAACAAATATGCAATGATAAAATGAAGGATGTAAATAAATACGGAGTAGTATCCAAGACTAAAATGACAACTAGACCAGAATATTCAAATCTGTGAATTTGAATTTTCTTATTTGAAAATAACATATACACAGACACAACGCCTCGATAGGCAATCCCATACCCGCCTTCACCGATGATGTTCTCATCTGATAATCCCTTGGTGGCGGCCTCAAACTCTCTAATCGGTCCTGATTCTTCCCCACTAGTGGCTCTGCTCTCCCCACTTAATACACATCTCGATTCTCTACTATGCCCATGTCAATCTTAATTTACAGCAATGCCTGAAATTCCATTTTAAATTTAAACTCTTGATAAAAGCAATAAAAAATCCCTAAAAGGATATCATTAACAGGTAATATAAACACTCCAAAGCAAGATTCTTTGGAACAACACTTTTAATGACAATACAAGACAAAAGATAAAAGCGTCACAACAATGGGTTTTTCAATGCAAAAATCTCACTTCATTAATGGAAAAAGAAGAGTAAAGAAAATACAATAGCTAATGAGGGATGAAAATTTAAAGCTACCTAAAAAACCTAATGGCAAAACACATCCCTAAACCAACCCACAATCTCTTTAGCTTTTATATTTCCTTGAGTAATTAATAGATTTGTAGGTTCCATATGTGAAATAGCTTGCTGTAACCCCAAACTAAACCGGAGCAAGTCTTTTGCTCTCGTTCCAAATTGGTTAGTCCTAGTGTAAGTCTTAAAAGTGTGAGATTGTTCATACCTGACCATACCAAGAGTGATGCGGCAGATTATATTCCAGAAACTTGACACCTTCAAGTAGCCAATCTGCTGCTTCTAGACTCAGAGGAATTTGACATGACAAGATTCCCTTTCTTTGTGTTATCTCCATCGAAGAAGTATTAGGAACACACCCAAATTAGAAAACCATATTTTCGATTTTCCAAGAATGAGCTCGAAGTCCTAGTGATTTCCCTATTCATCCAAACTCCGAGGCTTGCGGTCCCACTGTGTGGTCGCAGGTTGGATGTCCGCTGTAAATGGGAAGCTGGATTCTAAATGAGGCTGAATCCCGTCATCGCGGATGTTGAAGCCCTGCCGTCAAAGGGTAGCTAATTCCCGTCTAGACGTAGGTACCTCCTACGAAGTCTGCTCCATCTCCCTCAGTCGCAAAGCCTCTGCTGGATTCCCTTGGAATCGGCAGAGCGTCGCCCTAGCCTCTTCCCCGATATATACTACGTATATATAATATATATTGGTCACAACAATAGGTTCCTGCATAAAATCGCACACATTGGAAATGAAACAAATGAAAATAGAAGAAGACCTGGCAAGGAGATCGATGGAGTCGTGCGGCCGAGCCAATTAAGAAATCGCGCTGCTGAAGAAGAGTTAGGGTTCGCAGTATATGACTGAGAGTATGGTTAAGGGCGGGGGATTTATAAAATGATCTGCACGCCCGGCCCAAATAGAAAAGTTTAATTGAGAGATAGAGAGTGTCACCATGTCATAGTAATTTCTTTTTGTTAACAAATAGTGACACTTTTGTATTACTAAACGGCATTATATTAAAAAGTGTCACTAAAAGAGTGTCACTGTAAGGCATTTTTCTAGTAGTGATAGATAGGGGTTTGAGAGAGGAATCATTGGACGAGGGAAATGGAGATGATTGAGCACTAAAAAAAATTGTGCGAAAATGATTCTCTTTACAAAATGAAAAAATTATCAAAAATTGTTGGAGTACACGTTCTTATACACACCAGTACATCCTCGTATCTGTGAGAGGTTCTTTTTTGTCTGTGAATGTCAGTTCACAGACAAAACCGGCTTGTTTTTCCTCAGGAATTGGCATTAACGGACAAAAAACTCTCACAGACACGAAGGCGTACTGATGTGTATAAGAACGTGTACAAAAGGAATTTTGAACAAACTTTATTACTTTTTTCTCTTTCCCTCCTAACTTCGAAAATTGAGTAATTGGTTGATGATTTTGGCACAAAAATATTATTCAATAAGTATTACAATATCCTCGAGTTTACCATACTTAAAATGCATTTGATTGTTTGGAATCATTATCTCATAATTAATTAATATTTAAATTGTATAATTATAATATTCTAATTACTTCGTGATGGTCCCAAGTGAGGTAAAAGTCTAGAGAGGGAGTGAATAGACTTTTAAATCTTTTTCATTTGTCAACCCTTTTTTACTGTAACAGAGTGAGTTCCAATGTCTTTTGAGAGATATTGAAACATTCAACGAAAGTCTTGACCTCAAGAGTGTGACACTTTATAGTAACAAAGATTATGACCCTTTAGTTGGATGAGAGATGATTTAAACAAAGTACAGATGTGTTGGCCAAAATCAGCTTTCTGAAGGAGCAAACTACTGAACCTGGAGGAGCAGTCTGCCAAAATTTTGAGAGCAGACTATTGAACCTCTTAGGAGCAGGCTGTCAAATGAGGCTACTACATCAATGTTTTGGGACACAGAAAAAACTGTGACCTAGGACATTGCTTGACTTTTCATCACAGATCGAACACATGAGTATGAAGAATTTAGACCTATTTAGATATAGATCTCTTTGAGAAATAATGAATAATGAACAGAGAGGTTGATATGCAGTAAATTGGGCAGTTTACTGGTCAGTGTAATGAGTAAGTTGTTTGTCTTGGATAGTTGTGAAGGTGGGTGTCGAGAACTGTAGTGTGTTGTGGGAACTGAATATATAAGGTGACACAAGATATATCCTGGTTCAGATGTGGTGTATCCTTCTACATCCGGTCTCAACCTATTTTAGATGGATTTCCACTAAATGAATATACACGTTACATTTAGCGCCCAATCTACCCTTGACCGCGGACATAGATTGTGTGTTTTTTCACAATGAATTTGAACACCATTATATTCCAAGCTACTCAGTCCTCCACGGTTTTTCACTAATGGCATTAACTTGTCATAAGTTACTCATGTCCTTATCCTTCACACACCTTCTGAATTTGATCACAAAGCCCTCCAGAGTATTAGACACTAGTCTAGTTTACATGAGTAAAAGCTAAACGACCAACTAACTAAGCTGTAAGGATGTATATGAATTTGAGCTATTCCAAGAGCTCTTAGGTGGGTGGGGGTGAGAACTAAGAGGGTGAAGGGAGATCAGCACTTTGTATTGTTGGATATGTCGAATGATTCCATCTTCTTTCTTAGCTCCCCACTCGTTCTTCATGCACTCCTTCTGTATTTAAAGACTTTATTGTTGAAGTTCAACCATTGGCTGAAGAGTTTCAATCTTGATCGTTGCTTTGATTCACTTGCTTCGTTCTACTTGGTAGGCAGCATGGTTGATTTTTGTCCATTTGTGACATGAACTGTTTTCACTCAACTTGTATTCCTCATCTCAATGTTTAGATAAAGATGCAATATCCCAATCTTTTGTTCGAATAGCTTGAGTATATAAGTTGGGTGTTGTTGAATGCTCTCCTTAGAATACAAAATCACTTCATTTTAGTAAAATAATGTTATAAGAATTTTTTTATAAGGCGGTAAAAATCTCTTATGAAATTACTTTCTATCTTTTTGTGATTTTGACTGCAAGTTGGTCTTTTGTTTTATTGTTTTTGTGTTTTAGAGAAGAGTAGGAGATTTCGGTGACCTTGTCTGAAAAACTAAGTCTTTAACATGTGTTGATGATTTAAGTCTTTTGACTTATTACTCAGAAGTGGACATTCTTAGGACACTGTTATTAGCACAAAGTGGCTATTTAACAAGGTGCTCCTATATGAGGATGTTGATGTTAGTAGGTTGCTCCTAATTTTTATTAGGACGCCGCAAAGGAGCAAGATGCTTCTAATAAAAACAAAACTCTACAAAAGTGCTCCTTTTTCATCAAAGTCTTCTTTATGAGTTCTTGTTGAGGTAATGAGTTCCCCTTCAACCCGTGATAATCTCCTCATAAAGGCAGATGAATGTAGTGATGTTTGCCTTGAACTCTAGGATAATTCCCCCCAAATGAGATGTCTCTTAATTGATATCATTTGATATCAATTGATGATTGGGATATTTTGACTTTGCACCCCGTTTTTTGGGTAATATTGGACTTTGCACCCCGTTTTCAAAACTCTTAGACTTTGCATCCTGTTTGCTTTGAAATTTCTTTGCCTTTGTACCCCATTCAAGATTTTCTCTTCACAAAATGTTGTAGATAGGGTGCAAAGTCTAAAAGTTTTGAAAATGGGGTGCAAAGTCCAATATCACCCAAAAAGTGGGGTGCAAACTCAAAATTTCCCTTAATGATTCTAATTGATGAGGAGAGATACCTTTTGAGTTTTTTTGGCATATACATTCCTTCTTCAAGATTGTTCAACATTCAAGATCTTGCTTTGAGAATAATAGATGTGCTACGATCCTTTGTTTGTTTGAGATTTCATCAAATCTATCTTCAGTTTGATTGTAACAATCTTTGTGTGATGTTGTTGACAATTTTTTATATTTTCAAATTTTTATAAGCGTTGCAAATTTTAGATCATATTTGTACAACTTTTGCATTGATATATCATTTTCAAAGATGACGTCCCAAATTAATTTGCAAATTTGATTTTTCTTGATCAAACAGTTTCATTTTATTTGCTTAATTAGGATGTTAATTTTTAACTATATTCTAATTTGAAGTTTGCAATTTTGAAGATATTTTAATGTAGTTTCTGATTATGTAAATTTTAATTACTAAAAATTGAGTTAGTTAAGTTTTCAAAAAAAAAAAATTGAGTTAGTTATCGATATGGAGGGTTGACTTTTATTATTGGTTGAGTAAAAAATGTTGACTTTGCAAAACAATTTGGGACATAAGGAATATTACTTTTTTATTTTTTAGACTATTTGTGTATTTCTTTTTTAATATTGTAATGTGAAAAGGTATTTTAAATCCATGTCTTTAATATTAAACCCTTAACCTGTTCAAAGTCCAAACACAACTTAAACTTTCTAGGATCACTGTCCGGCCGTTATCCCAAGAAATGTCAGACCGACGAACACTTGCTATGGATGAAGACGGGGAGGAGCCGCCGCTAGCCGTTGACATAACAGCCGGTGTCGTTGAAAGTAGTGACCCTTCTTCCCAAACAAGTTTCCATCTAGAAACTACGGATGCCTCTCCAGTCGGCGTCACCGTCATCACCGGCCACCTCGGGTCCGGGAAGTCGACCGTAAACATCACTTTCAAGACCTCTTTGTCCCTCTCGAAATCTGTGATCTTTCTGTTGAATATACAATATTTTATGTCTTCTGACAAGCGTTTGAAAATTTTCAGCTGATAAATTACATATTAAGCGCGCAACATGGGAAGAAAATAGCGGTGATTCTGAACGAGTTCGGGGAGGAGCTGGGAGTTGAGAGAGCGATGATCAATGATGGAGAAAGTGGTGGTCTTGTGGAGGAGTGGGTTGAGCTTGCAAATGGCTGCATTTGCTGTACTGTGAAGCATAGCTTGGTTCAAGCTTTAGAGCAGCTTGTTCAGAGGAAAGAAAGGTTTTGTTTAGTTAATTCAACTTTCGTTTGCCTACTATTTACAGTCTTTTTATTGAGCACATAGTTTCATTTAGTTAGTTGATATGTTTAATGTGTAACTGAATAGTGAGATCTCATGTTCATAAGTTATTTTTGTCCATCATGTAACACCTTTGTCCTATTTGATATTCAATAGCTTATTTCAGTACTTGTATGAAACGAAATGGGGCTGAGATGCATAGTCAATTGAAATATAGCTCACCATCATCATTACCCCATTGCCGCAAAGGCTCCCCAACTATGGTGGGGGTAAGGGGGGTCGGACGTACACAACCTTACTCCTATAATAAAGCACAGATAGACTGTTTCTGGATGACCCATGGTGTAAATTGCGTCTAAAATTGCATTAATTGACCGCGGCTTCATAACAAAGAAGTGCAGGCAGTTTAGTGAGCCATTTGCTTTATTCCACCATATTCCCAAAAGCCAAAAATGATGGAAAGTGTCAATTGAAATATAGCTATGCGGTAATAAACAAGGTCCATTGCTTTGTAATTTTATTGGTGTTGTTGCACATGGTTGAAAGAAACTTCCTAACCACCCATAAGGGTGGATGAGTTGGTGGAGTTGATGAACTGATGACTGAGAGGTCACAAGTTTGATTACTCTGCCAAGACCTTCTAGGCACAGAGACTTGCATTGTGTGGTTTATCTAGCTAGCATGGGTTGAAAGCTGTTGTGTTCACCTGAGGGTTTATTCATTTAACACTCAAAGCGTAGCGGATGCTGGTTCTAGTCATAAAGAAAAATTTCCTAACCATACAGAAAAGGGAAGTGTAACTTAGTCCAAGTATTGAACAGAGTAGCTTTAATCGGCTTATATCAGAAGAATAAGTAGCCTTTGACTTACTTATTCGGCTTATATCAGAAGAATAAGTAGCCTTTGACTTACTTATTCGGCTTATATCAGAAGAATAAGTAGCCTTTTACTAACTTATTTGACTTACATATCTGCCAAATAGCCTGTACCAAACTGGCTCTTAGTTGTGTTCATGTTATTGGGCTATGAATCTAATCATGTTGTGCAGTTACATGTGGTATATCATTTTGCTCTAGTTGATGGTTTGAATTTTCTTGTATAACTGCTTAAAGCTTGTTTGGGCATATTACATGATGTGCATGTGAAGCTTACAATGTCAATCATGTAATGGGGTTTGAGGATAATAGCTGTGTCTGGCTGTCTCTTGATAGTTTCTGTGTAACCTGGAAAAACCTTTAATGATAACCTAATGCATCTCACACAAAATTTTGCAACTATGTTTGTTTGTATAAAGTTAGTAGTCTGGGTTATTTTTTGAAAATTTGTTGACACAAGAAAATGCACACGACCAACACCAACTTTATTACAGTAATAACATAATAAGTACTCCCTCCGTCCCGAAAAGGTTGGCCAAAGTTGACTTTCACGTGGATTAATAAAGTAAAAAATGTGTGGTTGAAATTTGTGCAGAGGAGAGAGAATTAACTTTAGCCACATATTTCTTACTTTAAATGGAAATGGCCAATCTTTTTGGAACATTCAAAAATGGAAATTTGGCCAACCTTTTCGGGACGGAGGGAGTATATGATTAGTATCACATTCATTATCAGCCCTTTTCAGTTTTCACAAACTATGGTTCTTGTTGCATGTAGACTTGACCATATATTGCTAGAGACTACAGGTTTGGCAAACCCTGCACCCCTGGCATCTATTCTTTGGTTGGATGATCAACTCGAATCATCTGTCAAGCTTGACTCTATTATTACTGTGAGTCACTGCTTGGATAGTTCACCCAATTGTGCACAAGTAATATGTAAACATTAGTTCTGCTCTATTGTTTCATATTCATCGCCTCCAATGCTGATAGGTTTTCCACAAATTTTGTCTTTTATGGTTTTCTTTTGCAGGTAGTTGATGCAAAAAACCTTCCTTATCAGCTGAAGACTCACCAAGAATCGTCTTTATTTCCTGAAGCATACTTGCAAATAGCATTTGCGGTATAATAAAATTCTCCAACTACAAAGTACTCTCTTATTATTATTATTTGAAGTTTAGGATATAACAAAAGAATTAAGGAGAAATAATTTTTGTTGTTATATAACTTTAATGTTTTAATGATAGGGACACGGGTGATAGTCTAGACAAAGTAAATAGATATGGGCGAGTGTACACTAGAAGGCCTAAATAGACTGGCTCGGTTATTAGTTAAAGTTGCTTAGTAACTAATAACGACCTTCCAGTTAGGGAAGGGATATAAATAGTTGTTTCCTGCAGCAGGTTGGCAGGCTTTTGGTCATTTGGTTTGGACTGGGAAAGCGGGAGTATTATCTCCTCTTTTGGCTTGTATACTGTTTACCTTGTAGACTGTTATCTTGTGGAATAAGATAGTGTGATTGTGTTCTTTCTCTCTATTTGCTTGTGATTACCAGTATTGTGTGTGAATTACTGGAATTGTGTTGTATTCCTTCTGCTTTTGAAGGGTTCTATCATTTAAGTCTTGGGAGCGGCCTCTTGTCAAATTGACAAGGGAAGGCTTGCTCCTTATACACCCTTATGGTGGGACCCTTCCCCGGACCCTCGCCTTGTAGGAATGCCAATGTGCTCCGCGCTGCCTTTTTTTTAACTATGTATTATATAACTTTAATGTTCCAATCTCCCTTTATAGAGTCGGGACGATACAAAATTTATTCTGTATTAAATAGTTAATTTATCTGTTGAAAGTGTCAAATAATTAAATAAAAGCTTATTTTTGTATTTGAAAATGCTCAAAACATTAACTAAAAAACAGATGCAACATCCTAAAACATCAAATATCAAATCAAAAATTTAAAACTAAAGGAAATTTAAATCTCAAGTTTCTTTACACTTGTAAGATGCACAAATAGATAAATGGTCCACATTCTGTTGTCTCATCAGATGATCAGAAGTAGCCTTTCTCTCCCTTTTGGGTTGAGGTAAGGTCAGGGTACATCTCACCCTCCTCAAACACTACTTCGAAGTGGGATGTATTGGGTTTTATCAGCTTGGTTTATTCCTTGAGAATGCAGGCAAAAACATTTTTCCCGCGTTTTTTTCTTTTTACAGGATGTTGTGATTCTAAACAAGGTTGATCTGGTTTCTCAAGATGGGTCTGGATCAAATCTAGATGAACTGGAGAAGGATATCCATGATATTAATTCCCTTGCCAATATTATTCATTCTGTTCGTTGTCAGGTCAACCTGTCCAAAGTATTGAATTGCCATGCATATGATCTGACAGTATGTCAACTGTGCTTCTGCATATATTTCTATTCCATGAAAATAGCATGTTGTATTGACAGCTATTTTTGACATCATGGTCCTCTTCAGCATGTAACTCACTTGGAAGCACTATTGGAAGGAAATAAATCTCTAACTACCCGAGATCTTCATGATATTGGCATTAGGACATTATGCATTTGTGAGTCTCAACATATCAATCTCGACAAGGTACTCCAGAATTCACTTCAGATTACTCTTAGGATAATAGCATAATAATAATCGTTAAAATAATAATAGTAGCAGTAGTAATAATAATCATATTAGTTTTACTTTTAAGAGGTCATAATCAATTGCACTTGACATTGAGCTTGCTGGTTGGGAAAATGACTTGTTCTGCGGCAGAATAGACTGAATACTTGGAATAAGTAGTTTTTGACTTATCTGGCTAGCTGAATTTTACCAAACGCTTTTCCTTATGAAAATAAGCCAAATAGACCTTGCCAAAAGGTCTCTTTGGTTGTAGCCTTGTAGGTATTGGAGCATTAACAATGTAGCAGGTTTTACTATTTTAGCCTTAGCTATTTCTTGTTTTCCTAGAAAAACAGAGTACAGATGATCCTCATCCTTTTTTCTTCTTGTACCTAAAGGTTCGTGTATGGATTGAGGAACTCCTTTGGGACAAAAAGCATGACATGGACATCTATCGCTGCAAGGGAATTTTAAGGGTCATTAACTCAGATAATCTACATACTCTTCAAGTAATTCATTAGAAGCTCTTGTTGTATCCTCCAAATCCGCTTCAATATTTCAATTATTGTATCTAGTCTTTATCACATGAAGTTTCCAAGAGCCTGGAGAATCGTCTCAATTTTGGACATACCAACCCTATGCCATTTTCTGATTTACTTGTCAGGGTGTGAGAGAGATATATGAGATTCTTCCATCACGTGAATGGAGAGAGGGAGAAAATCAAATGAACAAAATAGTTTTCATTGGTAAATAAATTTTTTATTTTTACAAGTTTATGTACATTTTCTTGCTTCATCCTTTATTTTATATGTATATATTTTTGTGCAGGCAAATCGTTAAAGGAAGATATTTTGCTGAATTCTTTAAGAGCTTGTGTAGAGGAAACCTCAAATTGAGCAGATAGATTGTATTCGTTTCTTGACATCATTTTATACCTGTAAGGCTGTACTATGCTGTAAAAAACAATCAACTCCTATATAAGTTATAAGCTTCTTGTTGTGTTCATTTTGGCTGCCTTTGTTTCATGTGATGTTTTAGGACTGTTCAGATCACAATTGCAGACAGTTGTATTACATTAGTTACTGACTGTGGCACAAGCCCCATCTTTCCATGCCTTAACTTTTTTACTTGAGCAACATTGCCCTTCAATGCAAAAATGAAAAAGAAAGACAGCGACTTCTAACTAAATACACTGCCATATTTTTATCTATAGAAACTCTAACTAAATACACTGCCATATTTTTATCTATGGAAACTCTAAGGGCCTGTTTACTAACAGAAATATTTTTCTGTTTTCATTTTCTGTTTTCAAGCCTTCAGTTTTCTGTTTTTATTTTTCAGTTTTTTGTTTTCCAAATCAGAAAACATGTTTACCAAAGGTTTTCAATTTTTCATTTCATTTCCCCCCGACAATGTTGACTTAATATTTGGAAAAAGTAATGCACATTTACAAACATTTGAAATAACAAAAAAATATTAACATAAATGTTCCCCAAAACTGAAAGTTCAATAAGTGACATACTGACATGTAATCAGAACAACAATTTTACTTTGACATCTCAAACATTATAATCATCCCATATTGCATTTGCAATGCTTTCTCGAATTTCGTGCATTTGTTGTTGTTGAGACATATCAAATTCAAGTGATCCATTTTCACTTGTACTTGCCTCCGTGTTAAATATCATATCATCTTCCTCGTACTCCAAGAACAAATCATCATTCCTATCTTGCATGTGAATGAAGTTATGCAATGCGCAACAAGTTATGGGAATTTGAACTTGTCTTCTCAATGGGTAACCAACTAACCACGTGATATGTCTAGAATGGGAAATCTTTACTTTAGTACTCTGAAACACCTCTCGATCACATAACGCACGGATGAGTGTCGGTAGTTAAATAAAGCTTGCTTATTGCGTATTCGTCCTCGGCCTCTAAAATCATTTAAGTGATAACTCTCTCCACGGTATGGGGCTAAAAAACCCGGAACATTTGGATAGTCAACATCAACCAAATAGTAATAAGTCTAATAACCTATAATGAAGTCAATAACAACTACAATGGGAACCAAATTTTGTTGTATAGTGACTTTATTAACACAAATTGCATAATTATTGTATTACCGATAGGAGACATGGGCAACCCATTTTCGCTTCTTGTAATTGCATCTAAAAATACTCGAGTGTTATTGTACGTTCCCTCCCAACCCACGTATACATACGTAAACAATAATACCATTAATAATGGTCAGTATCTGAGTATCAAGAATGACTTTTTTTAAACTATAAAGATTCTTTCTTAAGCATTTGGCTAAGTTTGCCAATGTTAGGGCTACAATTGAAAACGGTCTGGTCCTAAAATTTTAGATTATTAACCTTCAGAATGAAGCATTCAAAGGCAAAGTTTGTATGGATTCCATTAGATATTGAAATTCGTAAACTTCAGTATTATACTTGGTACAAAAAAATAATTGAATAGTTGAAAAAGAAACCAATAACACTAGGGGGGTGGTTACGTCCATTCCTATCCCAAAAACAACATATTTTTCCCCAATCCCCATTAACTACAAACTTAATAAAACTAACTAAACCACACAAATGTGATAGTTCAGGTCAGAAGATACATTCTCAACCTACATATGATAGTCTAGTTCAGGCCATAAGATACATTTTATATATGATACCAGTTACACTTTAGTGTGAATCATTGAAGTTATTTTTGTGTGAAGATAAAAATTGAATAATTAAGTTATACTCCAATACATGTTCCTTTTAAATATATATGGACTATCTACAAACTTATTAAAACTATCTAAAACCACATAAATAAAGTACATAAATGCCAGGAATTAAAAAAACTACTAAGTACTATGCCATAAATTGTATGTAAATGGACTGAAACACATATGATGTAAAAAAAGTAGTAATATGTTCATGGAATCAACAACTCATGAAGTACAAAATTATGTCCTTTACTCCTTTATAGAGTTCAAAATAAAAACAAAAACCAAAAATAAAAAATCTGCCTTGTAAATATTATCCATACATTGCAGCCCTGCACCCATGAATCATATGGGGTGTAGAGCAATTTTATACGGAGTATATGATAGTCCAATTCAGGTCAAAAGTAGCAAATATGGGCTACTATAATACACCAAAAGTAGAAATAAAGCATTAAAAATCAATTAGACCATTTGCTCCACATCTCAAAGCATAAAACAAGAATAAAAAGTATCAAATAAGCCTTAATCATAGACTAGTACAACAACAATTACTAGAAAACTGAAGCTAATAGTGAATTGGTTTTAAGGATTCCAAACAAAGCTGCGAAGCTAAAAGTAAAATTAAGAAAAACAAGCCCTAACCATGAATTTCAGGCTTAAGAAGCTGAATTGGTTTTCAGATTCCAATCGGATTTCAATTTTGAAAAAGAAAAGGTGAAAAATTTATTGCGTTTCAGAGCTTACCTTCAAATCGTTGGCAGAACAGGAGCCGACGGAAGAACATGGAGATACCGTGATGTCGGGGCTCAACTCCTAGCAGCGATGGCCTGATTTGTGAACCTGGAGCGTGGTAGCCATGTGAGGAAGAGGTAGTGAAGCTCTGCTCGGACGAATCTGAAGCTATGACGTGTTGGAGAAGAGGTGTAGTGTTTCACGAAGCTCACATACGACTTTTAAGCTGGAGCGGAGGAGGAAGGTGAGATTAGTTAAAGCCGAGTAATGAAGTTAGGCACAGGAAGGTAAGGGCGAAATGAAAGCCATTAAAGGTGGTAGGAGGAGGAAGGCGAGCAAGTAAATGAACATTACTATAGCACCGAGTTTTCTAAAACGAGAAAACGCATAAAAGGCTGTTTTCCATTTCACAACGAAAAAGTGAGACTTGTTTCGATTTTTTTATTTTGGAAAATAGTTTGGTAAACATGTTTTCTGACTTTTCTATCTCCAGTTTTCCAAATTTTTGAAAAAACAGAAAATATTTCTGTTTGTAAACAGACCCTAAACATTTTAAAGTAGATGTTCATTTGATGAGAATTTCATATATAACTCTGTATTAAGGATGCCCAACAACCAATAATGAATGAACTCAAACTTTAGAAAAGGTATAGTTATCCAATAATTCATTCTGTATGGTACGTTGATGAAAGTGTAGAATGTGTAAAATTATTGGCAAAGTGGACTGGACTGATGTAATCTACAATGAATGAATTAATTTAAACATTTCAGAATAGTTGGACTTTCAAATGTTGTCTACACACAGAATTGATTCGAGAATATAGCATTACACTAGCTATGGCACGCGCGTTGCGCGAGGTTTGATGCCCAACGGGAAAAATATGGCAGATGTAAAGAGCGTAAAATTTATCAACATTATCAACATGGCAAAGCAAAGTAGGACATAAGAAGAAACATACATAACAATTAATTATAACCATAAATAGTTGAGAATAGCTTAATTCTTCGAATACAACCGAATAAGGGAATAACTCTAGGGGAAAACACATAATAAACAGGTTTTTCCCTAGGTTTAAAAAATCATCAAGGAAGAGTGAACTTAAACTCATGTTTAAAACTAACACAAAAATTAGTACTAAAACATAATTGTTATGTTGCACGCCTAACCCTATGTGGTGTTAAACGTCAATTACAAGTTTGTGTATTTTCTAGAATAAAGAATAAGCATTTGAAAGAGCAGACACTATTCTTTATTCTATTTATTTATCCCAAATTAACCCAAATAGATACGAAATGTAATCCCGACCTGTTCAATTAGCTCCAGGCTTAACACTTAACAGGCTGCCCTTATCTTGAGGTCTTTCCCTTCTCTAATCTGTCCATTTTCTTCGTGGCTATGAATCCAAAATTACCCAAAAGGCTGATCATAATATAGCACCTACTAAACAGAAAGAAAAGTAAGTAGAACAAGAGATCGACTGATCGATATAGAGTAAAAAATGATTGGTGTTTTGATTGAGAAGCACTTGACCAATATTATATGAAATCATACGCAAGAGAGACGAATATGGCTTTGCCAAAGCTTGAAGCAAATTGTTGGTGCCGAGAGACCAATCTATAAGAACTTAACATGATCAAACACATAAATATCGGCCGGAAAAAAACACATACATTTGCAAACATAACTTTGGGGAAAAGAAAGCTAGTCTTTTAAAAAGAGTATATCCTCATTCAGCATTGTAGGCCACCCTTTCATACCTTTGAATAATCCATTCTCCAATAGATATCACTAACAAGCATATCTATGGTTCTATTATGTCCACACTGATTCCGCTCCAGCAATTCATTGAAACTATTTCCAAAATTAAATAAGAAATCAAATGATGAACAATAAAATCGAGTTCTCTAGTAATATAGAGAATCGAGTAGTCTCTTGGCACCTCTTGCACTTTTTAATAGCCTTCCCAATCCTCAATATGTACCACCACCAACATTTGTTCAGCTGACCCTCAGGAAACTTTCTGTCCCCATCAACATGTGGTATTATTATTATTATTGTTGTTGTTGTTGTTACTATTATTACTACTATTCAATGGTTGAACAATCGATCAAATTAGGACTCAATCCAACAACTGAGATAATACCTCGATCATACTTACACCAAACTCTTTATGACCTTCCGTACGTGTAAACACTTCATGACAAATAGCATATTCAATAAAAAGAATTGGCCCAAGAATTAACAAATAATGACTAATAGTCGATGTGTGTATAGTTGCATATTTTTGTTCACCATGACAGTAAGAATTAGATGTTAGTAATATAGGAGTAATTTATTTCATAGTGGCACCTTGTAATTGTTCTGCACTTTAAGCTAACTATGTTTGAAAATTAGGTTTTTTAAGGTATCTCACTCTTTTCCTTTGTCCCCTGTTTGAATAATTTATCTGAACAACTGAATTCATCATCATGCTTTTTTTCACAGCTTGAAACTTTGAGCTTTATTATTATTTTTGAAATAGATCGCCCTTATCTCTGGACAATACCCCGCAAAATGTTGCCAAAGCAGATATCAATACTAACTTATCATTCAAAAGATTTGAATGATGGTCTGCTATTTCTATTGAATCTAGCAAAGGAAGCTAGTAACAAAACAAAAATACCACCAAGCAACTAACATTGGT